TTCCAGCCCCGCTACGGCGCCGAGCTGTACGGCTGCAAGGAGGCGGTGCGCAGGGAGATCCACTCCGCCAGGGAGGTGAGCCCCGCCCGGCCCCTTCTCCCCGGGCTGCCCCCCTTGAGACGCTCCTCCGACGTGGTCCCGCAGCTCGGTGCACCCCCGTTGCCGGCGGGCTTGTTTCCCTTGCATCGTCTTCAACTCGCTAACTCGTGTGCCCGTCCCTACATCCCGAGCTGCACATCTGTGGGCCAAGCCGCAGGAGCGGGGCTGCACGTGAAGCTCCTGGAAGCAGGGCTCCTGCTTTTTTTGTGGCTGGTCAGCACCCACCACAGGTGCCCCTAAGTATAGGGGTTGTAAATGTTTTCCTTTGGCCATTTTCCTTCAAAGCTGCTACCGCTGGTTCAGACGAGCTAGCTGGGACCTTGCTGCTGTTGGGAATTCACTCCTTTAAGAAAGGGAATCTGCACAGTTCTTGACCAGATGTTTTCTGTAACTGCCCTGATCTACTGCCTGAGTGAACTGGAAGCCATTCTTCACAGCTGTGTTTGTGTCTCTTCTTTCCCCTTCCCCCCCCCCTCCCCCATTAAGACGTGGTAAATTAGTTTTAATCTCTCATACTAGAGAGAATGGGGCTTTTTAGTAATGTTTTGTATATGAAGAATAAAAGTGGATGACAGGTTTGTGGATATTCATCAGGATCAGTCAGCTCATTTGTAGCTTCTGCCATATGAGTTCCTCATTGGCTCAAAATGTCAAGAGCTCTGTACAGGTAACATGATGAAAACCTTCAGCTTTACATCTCATCCACTGAAATCCAAGGCAAAGTAAAACAGATCTCCACGGATGAAGATATTCCTGGGTATATTAACATCCTTTGTTCTTGAATATGGAAACTGATCATGGATCATTGCTGATGCCACTGATCTCTTCTTTTCAGGGAGGATTTTTGAGGGAAGAACTTCTGATCCTAGCAAGGCCTCTCTTGGAGATGTTTAGCTCCCAGTGGGTTGCTGCTGTTTTTTTGGAACCCCTAACTCGGGACACATCAGTGTGTGACACTTGAAGTTAGTTAGGGAAGCCTGATATCCAGACAACTGCCACTCTTGTCTCCAAAGTAACTTCTTACTAATTGACTTGCCTGTCTTTTTGAAGAGCAGTTATGGTCATTCTCTGTCCTGACTGAATCACCCTGTGGGTCATCGACATTAAAAGACTTAAAAACCTGTGTGACCCAGCCTTGAGGGTGAAATCATTCATGAGAAAAGATGGGAAGGAAGTCTGCACACCTGAATTAAGACCATGAGTCATGTCATTTGCTACTAAGCAAATGATAAGTTGTTGCTTAATAAATGATGATTCAGTATGCAGTGGTAGAAAAGCCTGAACAGCTAACAATTGCTTTCCCAGTGCATTTCAGCTCTTCAAAGTAGGTCTTGCACTCTATGAACTGGAAAGCTGTACTTCTTTTTCACAATTTCTGTATGACCTGTTTTTGTACAAGAGCAAACCAGGCTAGCAGGAACCTTAGATATATTTTCTTTGTATAATCAATGGATAAATGTCAAGACAGGATGAATACTCTGTAAAACAGGCTCCCACTGTGGGAACCACAGGTCAATACATTTCCTTTTCCATTTTCCATTTTTCCATTTTATTATGGGTGCAGTGATATCATGCAAGTATTGATTAAAGTAACGTCTGTGTTATAAAATGGTGTGACTGACCACCTAATGTGCAGGTGCAGTGTATCTACAATAGTCCTTCATGTGAGTTTGTTCTCCTAATCCTTTTGCACTTCAGTACCATGGTGCTCTCTCTCACCTGTGATGAAGAGCAATAAAAGCCCTTTCTCGTTCTAAAGTTTACAAATTCTGCTTTGATTCAGCTACACACATGGAGGGTATTTTGCTTTTTGGTCTTTAATTTCTTGTATGTCGATTTAAAGGACTAAACAGTCCTGATACGTGTGTGTGTCACAAGAATCTCACAACAGATCATCTGTATCTGTCCAAAACAAACAAAAAACAAGTGTTTTTGGAACAAGGTATTGAGAAGAGGAAACAAAATAGGGAGATGTTTAATTTGCAATGTAACTTGCTTTTTTGCTGTTCTTCCCCACCACTTCCAAAGCTCACTCGTGCTGCTGGGTTAAAAAAAAAAGGTTCTTGACTTTGTTTTCTTCTGAACATTACTGCAGGTTATTGCCCTGGTGATGGATTCCTTCACAGACATGGATATCTTTAAAGACCTTCAAGAAGCCTGTAGCAAGAGGCATGTTAAAGTGTACATACTTCTGGATCAGGCTTCATTTCCCCACTTTCTGAAAATGTGCAGCAATTTGGGAGTTAATATTGAAGAGCAAAAGGTAGGCACTGTGATTATCAAGAAAGCAGACAAATGGTTATTGGTCCTATTGCAACTATGGCGTCTGAAAGTTTGAAAAAAGGAACCTTTTCAGCTACAGCCACAGCTACATACATGGCATTTGTGTAGCTCCTGATCCTGGAAAGCAAAGGATTAATAGCACAGAAGCTGAACTCTCTATACAGGTAGAAAATTGGTGTACAAACAATCAGCATTTTTAATTGTTTGAAGATAAATGCTTTAGCTTAATGCTTATTATGGACTTGCTAAAAAAGTTCAGAGCACTCTTTCTCTGCTTGCAGCTTGGCATACCAGCTATCCCATAAAGCAAACTAATTTTTTGTTAGAACTGGGCACCTTAACTTGGAGATAAAGGCCTTGAGGTTTTTAGTCCAGATAACAGAATTTCTCTTCTTCCTTCTAGGAAGTCTGAAAGAGAATTTATTTTTGCAGGAATGTCATAAGATTGTGTCAATGAATTATTCATTATGCCTCTGCCACTCCACTATAAGTACACAAGGGAGGTTTGAGTTGTGTTTAGTACTTAGTCTTTTAAAGATGAAAGCACTGCTAGCTTTAATGTTAAGATATTTACAGAGAGACTAAATCCTAGTTTAGATCAGGCCTGAATTTAAAAAGTGACTTAAGCACTGGCAACAAAATGTTGCATCTACTGTTGTAGTACCTAAATTTTAACAGCCTGGTATATGTATTTTTAGGTGCCCTAGCTCCTTATACAATGCACGGGGGTAATTAAACACCCCAGAATGGGATTGTTGGGTGGCTTCCTGCTTCTCAGGCTTAATATTAATTATCCCATTGGACAGGGGTGTGTATTAGCTCCAGATGCATGCAGTTAATAACTTACTCAGCACTGCCAAGAGTTGCCTTGCTACACGTGGAAAACAGACAGGAGTGCCAACCCTGAACTTAGGTACTTGCACGGTTGCACCTTTTCCTTTCAAAAGAAGAAAGTAGCAATAGAATAGCATTTCTTTTAAAACATTGTCAAAGGAGAAGGTGATACCCCACTTTATTCAATGTCAGTGGTTAGAGCACTCGTCCCTGTTTCCTCTGCCTGATGAATTTAAATCCATACCTCCTGGGACAGTACTGTAGCCACCAGAACGTTGGCTATTTGAATGCAAGTAAGCACTCTCTTTACTCGTCCTGTTGATGTTGCTTCATTTGACAAGAAATAAATTCAGATTTGTTAGGTCTGTAGGAAAACGCATGATTGCCTAGGAAATCAGTTGAGACATGGGTAGTCCTAGATACTAGTCCCTACTCCAAATAAATATTAATGTAATTGATGTTAAGATGTATATACAGTCCTTAATGTAGACCTGGAACCAAGGATCCTTCACTCTCAGTGAATCATGAATCCGTTCTACTTTGGAAGAAAGAATTTGACAGGATGGGTGGAGAGTGTCCCAACCTAGAAGAGCCTGTAGACTAGTGGCTAGGGCAGTCTTCTGGGAGATGTCAGTTTGAACCCCTCAGGCAGAGGAGGGAATAAAATTAAGCACTCCTGATGTTTGTCTGGGTGAGTGTTCAGAGTGCTCTGAGTAAAAGACCATCACGGCCACTTTTTCTTTCTCTCCCTTTCTAAAAGAATATGGCAGATGCCACTTCCCTTTGTTTTTTTTTTTTTTTTTTTTTTTTTTTTTTTTTTTTTTTAACGGAGTCCAATGCAATAGGCATTGATAAAGGCATGGTTACTTTATCAATGGATACAGGTTACTGGAGAGGATCCTTTGGGCCTGATGCTTGGGGCAAGATAGCAGCTAGGTGCCAAGCTTCTCAAGACTGAAGTATTCTAGGACAGGTAAAAGCAGAACTGTGGATTTAAGAAGCTTCAGTATAGAGTACTAAGGCACCCATGGAGCTTAAGCAGTTAGGTAACAGCTGAGTGGAAATTCAAGATTACAAGTTTAGATGTAGATACCCAAATTCTTCCTGAGACTAGCTGTAGCTGTCTACATCCCTTCTAGGCTCTGACCATTACTGTTTAATTTCTTAATCCAGCAAAAATTTGTAGAGGACACCTTTCTTGCCTCCCAAGAAGGGTGACCTTTATAGTCAGCAACAACCCTTATTAATTAAGTCTTGAGACCACTTTTGGTTGGCTTGGTACTCTTATAGTGTTCATATCTTTTAGGTGCAAAAATGTAATTGCAACTTTTCAAACTAAACATAGGTGTATTTTTTTGTTTGTTTTTTAAACCAGCTGATGAGGGTCCGAAACATAAATGGAAACACGTATTATACAAGGTCAGGAGCCAAAATTGTTGGGAAGGTCCATGAAAAGTTCATGTTGGTTGATGGCATAAGGGTGACAACAGGTTCCTACAGGCAAGTACTTTACTTCATTTCATATTCTCTCTCCCCTTCCCCCAGCAGTAATAGGAAAAAGAATTTCCTTAAAAAATGTGATAGATGGCTCAAGAAGAGTATGTGATGTTTGTATTAAAAAAATTATGTTGCTAGCAATCTGTGGTATAGCAACAATCTTTTTTTTATGTATTAAAAGAACACATTATTGATAATCTGTTACTCTTTGTGTAGGTCCATTATTCAGTTTATCTTTATGCATTTTCTTTTTTTTTTTAAATAGTTTCACATGGACTGATGGGAAACTAAACAGCAGCAACATCATAATTCTATCAGGCCCAGCAGTTGAACACTTTGACCTGGAATTCCAGATCCTTTATGCGGAGTCAAAGCCCATCAACCCCTGGCTGTTGTCCTGCAGCCAAGAGCGTGAAATGGCTAATCAGCTGATCAAACCATGGATATCAAAGACTTGATGAGGAAAAGCTACTTGCAAATGGATTTTTCAACTTCAAAGCATTTGTCAGGAGACATAAGAAGGAAACAGTCAGCTGTATTCTTCTGGGGAAGCAAGGCATATGTCAAATATTGACACAAGAGCTTCTTCACCATTGACTCAGAATGACCGTGGGGTCATGAAGCTACATTGGAGCAAAGGGAGATAAACTGTAGCTGTACTTGGACTGAAACCTGAGAACAACCTCTGGTGACCATGTCCAACTCTACTTTGAAAAAACAATGTCAAAATGGTAGTAGGTGGAAAGCAAGCCTCTAAGTGAGGGAATGCAATAAACAGTGGTTCCACTGCATGGCCACTGCAACATACTGCAGAGTTGTATATTTGTAGGCCTGCTTCCTCTGGTTCAGAAGAGATGATAATGAAAATGTCTTTAGTGTATTGTCTTCAATAGTATATAATTAGAAGTTATAATTCCTATTCCATGATATCTTTGATCTTTAACATATTTTAAATTAAAACTATATATAGGTTGGTTGGTTTTTTTTGGTTGTTTTAAAGCATCTTGATCAAAAATCGAAGAAAATCTGAATTTTACTTCATGGTTCATGTGACCAGACTCTGGAATAGACTCCCAGTGGGAGTGGTGCGGGCACCTACCCTAGAGATCTTCTAAAGGAGACTGGACATACACCTTGATGGGGTTATTTGACCCCAGCACTCTTTTCTGCCCAGAGCAGGGGCTGGACCTGATGATTTCACAAGGTCCCTTTGAGCCCTAAAATTCTGTGAATCTGTGTGAATCTGGAAAGGCCCTAATAACTTTTAATCTTCAGTCAATTATTTTAAAAGAATTCCTTTTTTCACATGTTCTCCTTGGGTCAGTATCTTTTCAGCTCAGTGTCTACTTTTAAATAATGAGTTAGGCACACTCCTCTTGAGCTGTGATCATGTCTGAGTTCAATTATCCATTTGGTGAATGCTTTAGAAAGGGACAATAAACTGTGAAATGACACTGCTAGCTAAACTGCCACATAAAGGGCAACTAAATAAGATAAACCAATGTCAGTCTAGTAAGCCTCTAATTATAACTTTTCTTTATGTGAATGGCTACAGTTGGGCATAAGTTTAATGTCAACCAGTTTTAAGCACTAGTATGATTCTTCCCATACAACTTGAACCACACTTCACAATGAAGCATGTAACATGTAAGTGCCTATTAATAGTGACCAAATGCAAGTTGTTTTCAATGTACAAATATTCTTTTTAATTAGCAGTATATCTAAGGTTACAAAGTCTTTATTATAATTTGACTTTTTAAATATTCATTGCTTCAAATAATTTGGAAAGGCTTCAGTACAAAATGTTTATTTTTGCTGTATAATTATTGTAAACACGCTTTACCTCATAAATTTTTTGAGATTGGGGATGAAATATTTTTGGACAAAATTCAACACAAATGGCTGAAGTTTCAAATAATGTGTTTGCCATGAGAGGATGAAGAAATAAGAATTTTAAAATGTAATTGGGAGTAGTCTCAGGGAGTCAGATATCGCATTCTGATACTAATGCCAGCAGATTTAATGGGAATCCAGTTTATAGCAGAGCCAAATGAGTCCTGCTTCTTATGTATGTTCTACAGTTCACACCTGTCCTGGCAGATCCAGGGCTCCTGCTGCTTTTGGACTGTTCCTGGAACAAATTCAGAGGGGATTTGAAATGCAGGAAAATCCCCTATTACCCCCCTTGCCTACTTCCCCCAAAATCTATTCAACTTCAACAGGCAATCACATGGACAAGGAAATATCAATACCATGACCTTTTAAGATCCTTCTTCTTCAAACTGTTCTAATTTAAATTCAATCTGTCCTCTTGTACTGAAAAAAGAAACCACCACCAAAACATACTTGTGCATTAATGCAATTGCTCTTATCAACCTAGCCTTGCAGATGGCTCCCTCAAGTGAAGTACTGGGGAGCTGCAGCAGATGCAGGAACTTGCCTTGTCTTATTGAGGCTGTGGTTTAGCAAAAAATGTAGGTATATGGCTTAACTGCTTGATACCAAGCAGTGGTGATCCCCACCTTACTGTATGGAGCAGAGATGTGGACACTGTACAGGAGAAACCTCAAGTCACTGGAGAACTACTATCAACACTGCCTGCAGAAGATCCTTCAAATCCAGTGGGAAGACGGATGCACCAACACTAGCATCCTCTTGCAAGCTAACACCATGAGCATCAAGGTGATGATCATCATACATCAACTTCATTGGGTTGGCCACATCATTCAGATGTCTGACTCCAAGTTCTCAGAGCAAGTTTTGTTCTCCCAGCTCAGAGCAGTCTCCTCCTGCTCAACAGGAGGGCAGAGAAAGCACTTCAAGGATGTCCTTAGGGTCAACTTGAAAAAATGCAACATCAGCTTCAGATTGTGGGAGACTATCACCTCAAGAATGCCCTAAATGGAAGAAGAGTCTGATGCAAGAATCTCTGTGCTTTGAAACCTTATGACAATGGGAGAGGGAAAAGCAGGAGCAGCAGAAACAGTGTTTTTAGACCAAATCAAAAATCCAGAGTCATCCACCCTTCAGGGAAACATGTGCTACAACAGAGGCTACTGATCCCAAATTGGCCTTGTCAGCCATTTTTGGACCCACAGATAAGGCACCCATGGAAAACAATCAACCTTGACCATGGGGGAATGCTGCTGATGGCTTAAATGTTTTGCTGAATTTGGGCCTATAGTGTGACTTTTTTTAAACCTAATGGGGAACATATGTGTTTGATGTTAATTGTGGGCAACAAACAAACAAAGTGACCAGCATGTTAATGGAAATGCCTTAAATCTGAGTTAGGTTCTTGGATTAACATTAACCTGGATGTGTTGCATAGCCTGTATTTATTATAAAATACATATTTTAACCAAATATGAACTTTGTTTCTATCCAGAACTTTTTAGTCTTTTCTGCTATGCCTGAAGAAGGGTGTTTGTGCCAGACAGCTTGCAATTAAAGTTGTTTATTTGTTTTCTTTTGTTTGTGAAAATCCAGTTGGTCTAATAAAAGCTATCACCCCTACCACAAGTCCCGATTCATTTTAACCAGGAATATATACATATATAGCATAGTAATGATATACTACTAGATTAAAATGCAACGTGACTGCATAACCTGGTTTGTCTTCTGTACCTAATGTAACTAAAAAAATTCATTCTAATTTGCCTGAGCTATTAATATTTGACAACTTTGTGTCATGTTACTTTTACCCTTGTGTGTATGAATACCTACCCTTTATCCATTGTTTTTTGTTTGTGCGATCTCCTGCTGTCTGTTTTGTAATCCATGTAGAACGTTCTCTCTCAAGCAAACTTACTGTTACAGAATTAAATATGTTGTATAGTTCAGTATTAAAATCTTGATGATTGTCTTCCTTTATGTATGTGCTCGTATGTGTAAAATTTACTCAAGAGGGTACTGGACTTTTATTATAAGCAGTCTTTTTTCCAAATGAGCTGCTATTGCTTTTGCTGTGAAAGATACATGAAGCCATTTTATGTGTATTGTAATCTACCCCTTCTCCAGTGCTGTAGGATCTTTTTTACTGACCCTCTAATACAACCCTCTTTTTTCCCTCCAGACCTGGAGGACACTGCTGTGAGATGAAATGTTTTCATTTACATGTTGCCTTTATGTGCTTTAATAATGGATGAGGATTTTTTGTAATTGTAACTTCAAAATAGATCCAACAGCCACAATGTAAAGAATAAGGCTGTCATATTTAAGTAAATCCTTTTTCTCAAGAAATTACCTAGAGCCTTGTAAAAGTGATAAAGAACCACAAGTTTTATAAAAATTAAAAAGTTTTTGGAAAGATGGTACTAACCAGTAATGTTGTGTCATATCATCATTTTAATTACAACAATCATACTGACTTGTCTGCCAAGGTCATCAATATAAGTGATTAAAGAAAGAGAAACACAAAAAGAAATGTGGCCTGGGATTGTGTATACTTGTATTATTCCCCGCCCCTTATACCCAGTTACTATATTTATACATGGTGTAGAGTTTATTCCAATTGTTTTCTTTTGGTGGTTGTAAAGGTAGGTGGCCACTTCAAAATGGGAGAAGTGTGATCTTCAAAAACTGTAGATACTGGCTTTCTTTCCAGGTAATCTGCAATGGATTGTGGTGATTATGGAGAGGATGGAGATGAACTATTTGTGTGGCTGCAGGGGACAGAGCTGGAAGCCATGATTTTAAACTACAGCAGAGCAAATTCAGATGGGAGATTAGGAGGAATTTTCAGCATAGGAAGGTGGGTCAAGCACTAGGACAGGCTCCAGAGATGTTGTGGGATCTCCAACCCTGGAGCTGTGCAAGAACAGGTGGGGCAGACTTGAGAGCTGAGTTCTGCTTTCCCACAAAAACCTAAAAAGGTTAAACTCCTGTCCTCCAAGGGCTGACCGAGCACTGGCTGTGTCTGAAAATCCCCATCCTTTGTAAGTGTCTGTCTGTGCTAGGGTGACCACCTTTTCACAGTGCAGAAGTAGGATGCTGAGCCTCCCTGCCCTGCTCCATCCTCCCATGCTGGGTCCCACCCACTGGGCTGAGGCGGCCCTGGAGGGAGAGCAGCAGGACCAGGAGCCCCAAGCCCACAGCGGGCAGCCCACATTTTATTAATTTATTTATTTGTTTATTTTTAAGGAAAAATTTTCATGTTCCAACTCAAATCAGCCAAATCCATGAGTCATTCAGAACCACATGTGGCCCTACTACCGGCAACCATTCTCCGCCCCTGCCTGAGGCTTCAGATGCTTCCAAAGCCTTTGGCAGGCGTCCTACGTGCAGGCCCAAGCCTGGAGGCTTGGGGTTTGGATGCCCCTGAGTTTCGCTTGACCTCAGCGGTACAACTACAGGAGCAAGCTAGGGCGGTGCCTCCCATTTCCATAAAGTGGGCATAAAGCCACGATCTTCCCACAGGAAATGAAAGTGGGAGGTTAACTATATACAGGCAACCCTGCTTAGTGCTCTTAATTGGATCCTGAAAAACCAAGTCCTAAGTAAAACCGAAAGTATTTGGCAACTGCGAGTGCTTTTAATGACCCAAGATGGTGACTGGAAGTGTTATAATGAAAGTCACTGAGCACTAAGTGAAATCAGGTATCAATTTAAAACGAATGTTATAGCAGAACAGCACTAAGCGAAACAGCGTTAAGTGCGGGTACCTTTGCTCAAGTACTACCTGTGACCGCTGCGTGCCCTGGAGGCGGGGGCCTGGGGAGCTCCCGCAGGCAGCGGTGGCACTGTTGGTGGCAAGCGGGAAGCTCCTGCAGGCGGCTGCAGTGCTGTTGGCGGCGGGGGGTTGCAGATGCTGCCAGCAGCCAGTGGCCATCGAAGACCACCTGCAGATGCCTCCGGCAGTGTCGGCAACAAACAGTGACTGCGCGCAGATGCCGCGGGCAGTGTCAGCGGTGCCTTTCTGCAGGTGGTGCCCTGCCACGCTCGGGCAGGGCACGTGCACCCACTCCGCCTCGCCAATGATACTACCCCATGCCAGAAAAGCAGTTATCCCTAGCGATTAGGAGAACTGCCTTCGCAGTCATGGTTTTTCCACTGCCCGCATCTGCCCAGCACACAGATCCGAGGAGGCGCGTGACTGCCCCGCAGGGCACCCTCCTCCCGGGAACCCGCAGCAGTGCGGCTGGGAGCCAGCCCCTTGCTGCAGCCTGCCAGTGCCCCTCGCATCGTCGCCCCCTCCCTCCTCTGCCAGCCCTGCCCCGCTCCCTGCCTCACCCGGGGGCTCCAACCTGCCCCCACAGACAGCGGGCGGCGCCCCTAGGCCGCCCCTTGCACGTCGGGGCTCCGCCAAGCCTTAAGGGGAGGCTCTCCCCGCCCCATGTTTTTCTCCTTCAAAGGAAACCCCCGCGCTTTGGTGGCAAACAGAAACTCGACCTCGACCCCGGGCCGCTGCAGCCGCCGCCGCACCCGGGAACCGGCGCAGGGGCTGCCCGCGAGGGGGCG